CCACCTGGGCACACTGCTGGCTCATGTTCAGCCTCCTGTCGATCAGCACCCCCAGGTCCCTTTCTGCCTGGCTGCTCTCCAGCCACTCTGTGCCCAGCCTGTAGCGCTGCAGGGGGTTGTTGTGGCCAAAGTGCAGGACCCGGCACTTGGCCTTGTTGAACTTCATCCCATTGGAGTCAGCCCAACTCTTCAGTCTATCCAGATCCCTCTGCAGAGCCCTCCTGCCTTCCGGCAGGTCGACACAACTTGGTGTCATCTGCAAATTTGCTGATGATGGACTCAATCCCCTCATCTAAATCATCGATAAAGATGTTAAAGAGGACTGGGCCCAGCACTGATCCCTGGGGAACGCCAGCTGGATGCAGCCCCATTCACCAGCACTCTCTGGGCCCGGCCCTCCAGCCAGTTCCTGACCCAGCACGGAGTGCCCCTGTCCAAGCCATGGGCTGCCAGCTTTTCCAGGAGTATATTATGGGAGACAGTGTCAAAGGCTTTGCTGAAGTCCAGATAGACCACATCCACAGCCTTTCCCTCATCCACCAGGTGGGTCAACTGATCGTAAAAGGAGATTAGGAAACCATGAGTTGCATTTGTATGGTACTGGTAGTTTTACACTTAATGTGCATCTGATTTAAATAAAATACTCTATAGAGAAGTGTGAGAGAAATCTGTTTGAGCTGGTTAAGTCAATTTTAAATTTCAGATGAGAAAAAATGACATTTCAGATTTGAGATGCCTTTAAAAAAATGAATGTGAATATCAACAGAGAAGAATTCTTTATTCTTAAGAAGTAGGAAAGGAAAATTAATTCAGTCTGAAGTGAAAGATGAGAGATGAGCCCCTAAAGGTGATACTTTTATGACTTTTTATAGCTTCCATGCAGTGTCTGCAGGTATGTGCTGTTGCATTATTAAAATAATAAAGGTAGTTTAAATATGCTGTGTTTAGAGTTTATGTCCTGAACCTGACCTTTAAAATAGACTTCTGAGAACTTGACAAAGCTGCTGAAACAATTCAGTTTCAATCAACATATTACTTTTCATTCTTTTTTTCTGATATTAACTAATACTGGTAAGAGAGATCTACAGAAGGGCCACAAAGATGATCAAAGGACTGGGCAGCCTGCCCTGTGAGAAAAGGCTGAGAGGACTGGGCTTGTTCAGTCTTGACAAAAGTAGGCTTAGGGGAGACCTTCTTGCCATATTCTGGTATTTAAATGGTAGCTACAAAGAGGATGAAGACTCTGTTTTTACTAGGAGTCTCTTGGAAAAGATGAGGGTTAATGGGTATAAATTAGTCCTGAGATTTCAGTTGGACACAGGAGGAAAATTTTTCACAATGAGAACAATGAGCCATTACAATAATCTCCCCAGAAAAGCGAGGAAGATTCCTATTAGACATTCTGAAGATTTGTCTGGATAGGGTGCTGGGCCATCTTGTCTAGACTGTGCTTTTGCCAGGAGAGGTTGGCCAAGGTGATCCTTGAGGTCCCTTACAACCTGGTACATTATGATTCTATGGAAGTTTTTGGGGTGGGTGTTGGCACAGGGGCTCTGGTAACATATGAATACGATCTATAAGATCTTCAGTATGTCCGTTTTATTAGAAGAGCTCAGACTTTTTATAGTTTCTCTATACAAAGTCTCGTGACCAGCCACACGTAATTGGTTACAAGCCACTGTCCAGATGTAAACTTACATGACAAATACACATATAATTGGCTTATACCAGGTATCCAGGCAGAATAAGATAGTTATTTACTTTAACAAATCCCACCTTCTTCTTGGCATAGATTTCCTTTTGTTCTAGCAAGGAGGCTCGCAGCCATCTTGGCACTTACAACTTATAATATCTATAAAACTATATGAAAGCAAAGTTTCTACTACACTACAGAACACAATATAAATTGCTTATGTATTCATCATGTTCCTCCCACAGGTGGGTGTGCTTGCTCACTCAGTATTGAATGAAAACACAATGCATAATATATTGGGGGTTTTTTAATTATTTTTTTTGTTGTTGTTGTTGTTGTTTTTGTTTTGATTGATTTTTTTTTGTGACAGACCCCAGTGTAATACTGCTGATCCATTGAAAGCCTTAGTATTTGACTCCACCTTTGACCACTATCGAGGGGTCGTAGCTAATGTTGCACTCTTTGGTGGGGAGATTGCAAAAGGGAATAAAATTGTGTCAGCACACACAAAGAAAAGATATGAAGTCAGTGAAGTCGGAATTCTGACTCCAAATGAACAGCCAACGCATAAGCTGTAAGTAAAAATTTCTTACGGTGGAACAAATCACAAGTTGGTGTAAGCTATAAAACCCTGCATTTCTGTTTGATTTTTGTTTTGAGTGGTAAAAGCTGGGAGATGTCTAGGTTTTTTTGTTTTGTTATTTGGTGGTGGATTTTTTTCTAATTATTATTTGTAATTTAATGCTTAGTGTCAGTCTTTTTCATTTTGGGCATGCTGAGGCAGAAGGTTTTGGGGACTGCTTTTTGGGCATTACTGAGGGAGGAAGCCATTCTGTCATCTGCAGATGGAACATCTGGACAGCTACTTTTTTTAAGACTAGCATTTGATATTCTTATTCAGCTGTCCAATTTATTTCTAGGAACTGCCTTGCTTGAGAGTGGAAGGGAATGGGGCTTCACCTTAGTTATTGCTGCAGCATATGTTGAGGGTGGAAAACTTAAAATCCATGAATACAACAGCTTCCAGAAACTGGCTTCTCATGGCAGCAGTGGGAAGAAAATCAGGTACTTAGAATTAGTGGAGAAGTTTTACCAGTTTGCATCCAAATATGTGTTAATTGCTACTGGGGGATTCTGAGAGAGACTACATTACTGTGTCTGGTGGGTTGAGCCCAGCCAGCAACTAATCACCCATTTGCTTTTTTTTTATTGTGAAGCATGAGGCTATGTGTTGTGGAATATCTCTTTGACCAGTTTGGGTCTACTGTTCTGGCTTTGTCACCTCCCAGTCTCTTTCCCACTCCCAGCATATTTGCTCAGGGAGGGGCAGAGTGAGAAACACAGAGGGCCTTCATGCTGTATGGCAGTGTTCAGCAATAGCTAAAACATAGGTATGCTATCAAGACTGTTCAGTCACAATTCCCAAACACATCATCATACAGGGCTGCTCTGAAGATAGTTAACTCCATCCTAGCCAAAACCAGTACACTGTGTATTTTACTTGGTATCTACCATGGGTTCCCCTCCAGTTAGTGTTGTGTGCTGATGGAAGGTGTTTGTCTCCTTGCTTCCTCTTAGTATATGAAACTTGCTGTGTTGGCATCTGGGAACTGTTCTGACTTCTGTGTTTTAGAAGGAGGGATTGGATCTAGCTCCATCTTTTAAACTGGGAATAATACAGAATTCAAAATCCAGGACCATAAATGTACAGTTCCATTATAACAGCAATAGAACTGCTTGAGGAAGTTCACAACTTGGAGGTGAAACAACTTAAATCTGGCTTCTGGACTGTGGATATGGCTTTTAGTGGGGTGATTTATTTGAACTTCTATCTGGGCTAAATCAAGTAGGAAAATATTGGAAATAATACTAATGCCAAGAAGCATGTCTATATAACAACAATTTTATTTAGATATGCAGGACAGGTGGGGTACCTGATTGCTGGAATGAAAGAAGTAACAGAAGCCCAAATAGGAGACACACTCTTTTTGTATAAACAGCCAGTGGAGCCTTTGCCTGGCTTTAAGTCAGCGAAGCCAATGGTTTTTGCAGGTGAGGAGTAAACCAATATAAAGTGGAATTACTTTTTTTTTCCCAATTACAAGAGTAAGAGAACTGTTAGAGCTTTTAAAAGAATATGTGTATATTTAGAGTTGTGAGGATTAGAATTTTAGCAAAGAGATGTGTCATTTATGTAGTTTTGTGTAATTTTCCCTGTAACCTAACAGACAGGATTAATAATAGTTGCTGGCTGGTTTTATATGGATACAAGACTAACACGTATTTTTTGCCATGATTATTGTTTCTAATGCCAGTAAACTCTTAATAGCTGGAAAAGAAGGATTGAGACTTTAAAAAATAAAAATAAAAGTAATTTTGGGGGAATTCCTCATATTGATAATCAGGTTTCCATAATTATTGCACTAATACAAATGCTACAGAAGGTGGCTTTAAAAGGAAATAAATTCTGTATATCATTTTTGAGACTTGTGAAGCAATGTGTAAAAGCTCACTTGAACTGTCTCATTGAGATTAGGCAATCAATCAGTGAATGTAGAAAAGTGTAATCTTGTAAATAATGTTTTTGTGGGCATATGTGTTGCTTCTTGGTGTAGAGTAAAGTACATTTTCTGAAGATACAGTGATGTGAAAAGTGATAAAGTAGAACCTATTTTGTGCAGTAACTATACAAGCAGCTGTTTTATTTCAAAAAATATAGAAACATTTGCAACTTTCAGATGACACGTTTTATTTTCCATTCAGTCTTACCTTTGAAGAAACATCTCAGTGAAATCTGTCCACTTTTTCATGCATGCTTAAGCCATATGTTTACACTGCAGCCCTGCAAAACAGTGGTTATACTCAGTTGTGCATCTTCCACAACCGTGAAGGATTAAATGAGCACAGTGATCCTACCGTTATGCTTTAAATGTTAATTCTGAGGTAATCTAAAACTTTGTTATTATGTTTTGACTAATTTTTTTGAGGAAAAAGAATCCTTATATTCTTTTTCATGTTTAAAAACATTTGGAACACAAATTAGGCTATTTCGGATTTTATTACTCTGTTCACTGTAAGAGGCATATTTGAAAGTTAAGTACACTCCAGATAAAGCTCTCTATCACATCATTTCTATCTAATATATTTTGACAGGAATGTATCCTGCAGATCAAACAGAATATAATAATCTCAAAAGTGCTTTGGAAAGGCTGACATTGAATGACTCCAGTGTAACTGTTCATCGTGACAGTAGTCTTGCCTTAGGAGCTGGATGGAGGTGAGGATTTTAAACTACTTTCATTTTTGGAACTGTTCATAAATTCAGAATGCAGGTTTAAGTCAACTGAGGATAGAATTAAATGAATTCAAAATTAGGAGCTTTAATTCAAATTAATGATAGCTAAAGATCAAAAGCATTTAATTTTCTTATATTCTCTGTTTGCACAGAGAGAAATTTGTTGTGATTGATAGCTTTTGTTCTCCAAGACACATATTATTCAACTTGAGGATTATTTTGGTCCTTTGCAGGTTGTTAGCTATGCTTGAGATTGCCACACTAACAGTGTAAATGTGCTGGACGTGTAAAAAATCCACTGAAATTCGAGGGGATATACAAATAACTTTTACCAACAGGGTATTCATTTTCCAGATTGGGTTTCCTTGGTCTTCTACATATGGAGGTTTTTAATCAACGTTTGGAACAAGAGTATAATATGTCGGTTATTTTGACTGCACCGACAGTTCCATATAAAGCTGTTCTTTCTTCAGCAAAGTTGATAAAGGTATGTTAAATTCATTACAAATTTATATAAATAGCAGATTAAAAGCCTCCTGTAATAAACACCTACAGTCTGTGTTTAAATGTAGGCTAGCACTGTATTTCATGGGAAGCATTAGAATCACCAGTATTCAGCTTACAATTTTTTTATTTTATTTTTTTTTTAAGGATGTTCTTTCTACTAAGGATGTTTTTTAAGAATATTCTTCCCCCATCCACTTCAAGCACACTTTCTATGTCTTGCACTTGTCCTTGAAAATGGGAATATAGGAGACATATCATACTGTATTCATTTATGTGCATACTGAGCGAACTGTGTTAAAAGCATGTGAAATAATCTTCCAGGCTTTATCAGTCAAAAAACATGAATGTTTTTAGGAATAGCTTGCAATGCTACTGTAGGCTGGCAGGGTCTTAGTAACTTAAAGGATAAGGATGAAGTAAGAAGGAAGATTCTCACTTTACAGGTGAGATAGAGACCTGGAAAGATGGATAGAAAGGCTTTTTGTATTTCTCTCATTTCCCAAGTAAAAAATAAATCCTGTAATATTTCTGTGTAATAATGTTTAAAGATATGCTGACAAGGGACTTCTATATGTGATGTAGAAATCTCTTCTGAAATTGTTCTTGTTTTAAACTTGGGTTGCATAATGCACAAACGTTTCCCGGCAGTTGAAACATTTTTTTAGCATTTTTTCAATGCTGTATTTGTTTCCTTTGGTTTTCAGTCTACTTACTTGTAAAATTATGCTATCTGGTTGGTTTGTTTGTTTGTTTTTAGGAGTACGGAAAAGATGAGATTACTATTATCAACCCTGCTCAGTTTCCTGACAAATTTTCAGTATCAGAATATTTGGAGCCAACTGTTCTTGGTACTATTGTAACCCCTCATGAATATATTGGGAAAATTATTACTTTGTGTCAGGTTGGTATATAGTTTTAGTTTTGTCTTTTGCTCTTCACCTCATACTTAAAGTGAAGATACTAGATAGTATGATAATAGATACTAGTGCTTAAATAGTAACTTTGACAGTAGTTATTAAATACTTTTGAAACAAATAATTATTTTAAACTTATTATTTGTAAAATACTGAACTACAGAATTCACATATTGAGAGTTAGTGATGAAGCTCAGTGACAGTAAAGTGCTTGGTCTGTACTAGACTAACTCATAGCTTGTTCTGTTCTCCTGAAAGAATGGAATTCCCCTGCAGCAGGGGAATAGGATGTATTGTTTTTTTAGAAGTATATGGAAGAAAATACAACTTTTCTTAACACTTTACTGTGCACTCATGTATTTTTTTCAGTACTTCACCAAAGTAAATTTACAATAGGCCAAACACATTTCCCCAAGTATATTTGGAATATTTCTAGTTGAAAATGTTTTAACTGTCATGCATATTGTCTTCATATAATTTTTTCACAATATTTTTCTTAGCATTTAACATTGCAGAATACATAATACAAAACAGCACAGTACTTGTACAGGGAAGAATAAAATCTATTAAAAAGAATTCCTAAAATAACTTTTAAGAACACCCTCCTGGGAGGAAAGAAGATGAGCCTGCAAACCCTACTGTGTAATACTCCAGTTTGTGCATTTATACATTTAAAAGGCAGCAGGAAGCAGAAGTTGTTAAGGATTTCAGCAATTCAGCATTTAGAGAGGACAGGCTTGGATCATATGTCCAGTTAAGTTACAACCACTTCATTTATTATAGTGCTGCTATTTGTCCTAGGACTTCAGTGACTACCAATAGGAAGGTTACTCAGGGGCTTGCCATACAGGAGATCTCTTTTGTAGCTGGATAGCTGTTAATTTTATTTTGCTTTGTATTGTTTTGTAGAAAATTTCTGTCAAGGGGAACTGAAACAATTTTTATTTGTCTAGGATCGCAGGGCAGTCCAGAAGGATATGTTGTACATTGATGAAAACAGGGTTATGCTAAAATACCTCTTTCCACTGAATGAAATTGTGTTGGATTTTTATGATGCGCTTAAGTCTCTGTCTTCTGGCTATGCAAGGTAACTACCTCTCCTGTTCCCCCTTCATCCCTGAAGGGGGGTGTGGTGAAAAAAGATCTGAGGAGCAGTTATGGAAGGGCATGAGTGAAGAATATTCCTTTACGATGGAAAATCTACGATGCGAATCTAGTCTCTCTTCACCTTTAATGGATTAGATTTACTGTGAAAATGGATGGAAATAAGTCTGAAAAACACTGAAAGTGCATCACTACCTTATAATCATTGCCTTTGGTCATGTGTGTATTTTTCAAGTGCACCCTCTGGTGTGGCACTAGTTCATCTGTATGAGTTAGGTGGTGTTCCATACCTACCAAGGAAGAGTTTGGCAATTAAGTGGAAAACTCAATTGTCAGAGAGGATGATAATAGGGGTCATATAACTGAGCGGATGAAAAGAAAGCAGCCCAGGATTAGTGTTTGATTCCTTTGTTATTCAGGACATTTACTGTTCAGAAGCTGTGTTGGAGTGTTTCCTGGAGCTTGAAGGAACCTCCAGCTGATAGAAAATAAGTGTTTGAATAAAGTCTTTAAAAAACTGTATTAAGCATGTAAATTTCTGCTTGATTTATCTTGCTCAGTAGATTGGAAGGATATCCTGGAAGTCAGGATGACACATTCTGCTGCATTGGAGATGACATTACGTGCAGTACATTTCTAGTCTGGTTTTGCACTGGGGAGATGTACTGAGAGACTGTTGAAAGCTGTACTTCCATTTTATTAAAAAGTTCAAATGTGTTATTAAGAATTATTTCTATAATTTAAAACTCATGGAACAAAGACTGCAGAATATAATTTTACAATATCATCAGTAACTTCTGCACTGTCTTTTTTTTTTTTTCCAGTTTTGATTATGAAGATGCAGGATATCAAGCAGCAGACCTAATCAAAATGGATATTCTTCTAAATGGAAATCCAGTTGAAGAACTATCTACTATCATACATAAGTAGGTTGACTAGATTCTTTATCCCAAAGAAATAAGACTTCCTATTAACTTTGGTGAAAACATTATCTATTAATAGGACTTGATGATCTTAAGGAACTTTCCTGACTTAAACAAATGTATGATTTTAAGTGATTCTAGGTATAGGTATTACTCTTATATTTGACAGATATATATGAGCATTGAGGATTTGCCACATCACCACTTTCATCACCACTGAAAAAGAGGCATTTTGTAATATGAAAATTAGGTAATACATACTATAATTAGTAGCAATTTCTACTTCTTTTTCTGATTTCAAGTGCTGGATATCACATTTTTTTGTGGCAAATGTAGGGCAGAGAGGTTGAAGGAAAATGCATAATGCCAATCTTCTAAGGGTCTGGAAAAATTTTAAATGCAGACCAGTCAAGGAGATGCCAGATGAATTTTTTCAGTACTTTGTAATGAAAAAGAGTTGGTTTTATTCTCCCAATAATGTCTGTTCTATAGAAGTTATCTTGTCTCCAGCCTTAGTACCAGGAAAATTTAAATATTTACTGGATGCAATTACCTCAGAAATTTTTTTTGATAAAATGATTCAATTTCCACGACTGTCTCAGGAATTACAGGTGAGGGTAATGCCTTTCCCATTCCTGCCTCTCCTCACAGTTTTTACAAGTTTCCCTTCTGTAACTTCAGAATCCCTTTCCAGTAATCCTGAGATCAGCTTTTTGTGGATTGTTTTTCCTTCTTAAAATACTAATTTATAGTTGCTAAATATTTGTATATTTTCATTTTTTTTTCCATAACTGCAATATTGAAATCCTTGGAATTCTCTGACTCCAGAAGGCTGACAGAGGAAAAGGAAACCCTTGCCTTGTTCAGATGGGTTACGGGGCTGGAGTGATACAACTCTCTTGCTACTTAATGTGTTTATCATAAATATGCAGTGTTTAACAATCTACCTCCATCTCTAACTCTTTCCAGAATCTGTGGCACATGCTGAAGATAATTGGATAATTTTTATTAGCAGATGACAAGAGTACAAGATTTTTTTTTCTTGCTATATAAAGCCAAATCTTTTTAAAGTATTTCTGTAATATGTAGAAATTTTGACCTTTTGGGCCTACAATCAATGAAAATTCTCTTTGACCTAGTTCAAAATTTCCTTTGAAGCTGTAACAGTATTCAGAATGGCTTCAGTGTGATGGATAATCAGGGTGTTTTTTGTACATATTTGAAGGCCTGCTGTTAATGCAGTCTGTTAGTCTGAAACAGGTGACATACAGAGACCACTCAGTAGATGCAAAATTATGCCCTGATCACCTTATTTTTTGAGATAAAAAGAGGAAAACTTCTACTAAAATCCTTTTATCAAACAGTTTGGTCTATGGATATTTTTGGTATTGCATTACCCTTTCTGAAAACACTGGTGACTTCTTTTTTCAGTGATAAGGCATACACTGCTGGTAAACTCCTGTGTGAACGTTTAAAAGAGGCCATACCTAGACAGTTGTTTGAAATAGCCATCCAGGCTGCTATTGGCAAGAAAATAATTGCAAGAGAAACGTAAGTGAAGACCATCTTTTTTTCCCTCCATAATTTAAGCTATGTAAAATACAGATTTTTATACATTACAGTACTTTGATTTTAGTATTGTGTTTTTCTTGTATATGCTACCAGACATCTTGAAAAAAAGAAAAAAAAGCCCAAACAAATTTAAGCTGTGACTATGACTAAAGATTTTGAGTTACATTTATACAAAGAAAATGTATTTTTATTTTAAATTGCTTGTGGTCAGCATTGCACTTAGTGGATAAAGCATAATGTGCAACACCAGCGTGTCCATTTCCTCTTTGGCAGAGGAAAACGTTTCTTCCTACTGAAAAAAATTAGCTAGTTGTGGAATAGTTTAATCTCTGGGAGAGTCAGTAAAAAAAGAATTGATTTGTGCTGTTCCAAAGGAAATATGTTGCAAGCTGAACACACAGCTTTTTCTTAAGCAGCATGCACTTCTTTAGAGTAAACAGTTTCCTTGATGCTGTGTTTTCTCGTCACATTTTTCTGTTGCTGTTTAAATAGCATTTAAATTGTGGTAAAATGATTATAGGTAGGAATTTAAGCCCAGGCGCTGTAAGAATTTGTGTTTATATCTATACACACATGGATGTAACACTTCCTATGAGCCATAGCAGAAGTCCTAGATAAAAAGGCAAGATTGTCATTTTTTTATGTATGCATTATACACCCTAAGGGGTATTTCTAGAATTAAGAACTGTGAATTGCATCTCCTGCTTCATCTCTTGTATACAAAACATGAAATTGTTATGATGCCAATGCATCTCACAAAACTAGTAGAAAAACAATTAGCATTTTGACATAGCTCAGTATTTAGCTTCACATTTAGATGTTCTAATGTGTTAAAGGTGTATATGTTATTTTATTTTACAGGCTCAAAGCTTACAGGAAAAATGTTGTGGCAAAATGTGTAGGTATTTTGTCTATTTTTTTTTTTTAATGTGTCTGTAATTTGTAAACCTGCTAAGATAGGCCCATCTTTTCCTAGAAACCCAGCAAAGATATGTCATGCTTGAGTGAACTCACCGTGTTCTAGTAGTTGAAGACATAGAGTAAATGTGTGTGTGTACACAGGCATATGTGTAACTTCACATTTCCTAAGTTGTTTTTCAGATGATAAAAGAAAGTATAAATGTAATAAAGCTTTTAAATATTGAATAGTTGACTACTGACAAGACTTAACAAAGCTATAGTAAAAATGTGATACCTCTTACTCAGCTTACATTTAGCTCTCTGAAGCAAATGTTGGAAATTATTAACCAAGTGTCCCTTTCTCACAACAGAATTCTTCTGCTACGCACAGATGTGGGATGGTGTTTGTTCAATGTTGTACAAGGGTTTAGTTCATTTTTCTAGATAAAAGCACCTAGTGCTAGTCAAGATGCCTCAGCGTATCTGAGCTGGCATCCTGCTGCTGTTCCAAGGGCATATGGATCCAGTGTATTGTCAGCCAGGCTTATGTGAATGTAGGTAACAGAATTCAGCCTTCACATGTCCAAATGAACATGCTTACTTGCTCTCTTGTTTTTAATGAGTGTCCTTTAGGCATAACTATTTGGAGTATAACATAATCTTTTGTCATAATATAACCAACCTTCTTGGCTTTTTTTAAGCCCTTGAATTTAGTGTTGCTGAAATGTACTGTCGTTGTATTTGCTGTTGAAGCTTACTAAAATATTTTTCCTTTTCACAGTATGGTGGAGACATTACAAGAAGAATGAAGCTTTTAAAGAGGCAGGCGGAAAGCAAGAAGTTGATGAGAAAAATTGGCAACGTGGAAGTACCAAGAGATGCCTTTATACGTGTTCTAAAGAGAGAAACTGACAAGTAGAGATCAGTGACATGATCCTTCTCTCAACTTTTTTGCAGACAGTAGCAGAGTGAGCTAATATATTGATTTATCACTGTGAGAGGGAACATACTTGACTTTTAATGGTGTAAATTAAATTAAGTATATGTGGGAAGATGAATTGAAAGGAGTGTGTACTTAAAATGTACAGATACATGTAGATTATTATGAAATTAAAAGTTCACTTGACTGAATTTTCATTGTACGATTTTCATTGTATTTCACTGTTTTCATATTTTAATACTTAATGTTTTATTTTTGCATTGCAAGTCTACATATGAAAGAACAGGAACCGTATGGCAAAAAGGTTATAAAAATAACTGAAAGGTATGTATAGACAAACAATGCTGTGTTGGTTTGGTTTTTTCTTGTAAAGTTTTAGCTGTTGCCATAACAATATCAAGCTGCTTCCTGTTTTACTTTTTTTAAAGTTGCTGCTGTCTGAAAATCATCATCATGCTGGAAAATCACATCAGAATAAGAAAATCATAAATGCAAGTTAATGAACCTGCTATATACTGTGTTTACAACTCCTTGCCCACCTCCAGAAGCTTTTAAGACAGACTCTTCCATGCTTTTGTAATTTCACAGAACCATATAACAGTCTAGGTTTGAAGGGATGTTCAAAGACCATCTGGTTTGACCCTTTATGTGAAAGGTGAGCCTAGATGAGAATCTACTACGGCCTGAAGCGATAAAGTGCTTTGTAATTAAGGCTACCTGCCTGTCATCTAGGTGAAGAGTTAAATTCTTGAAGTTCTGCTTTGTTGCACTTTCTCTGAGTATTTTACACAAGGACATGATCCCACTGCTCCCCCCAAAAAAGTCTATATCAGTGAACTCTTTATCTTCCTCCTTTGGTGCCTAATCGCTTCCTGAAGCCCTGAAGTATTTATGCATGACAATTTATATCAGAAATGAAACAATTCTGAAATTAGAGATTTGTATTTAAGTTTTACTTATATTCAAAGTAGGAAATAACATTCCTTGTAACAGCTCAATGTTTATAATAATACAATGAGAAAGTGATTAACAGTTGGCTTTAAATGACCATTAAATTTGCAGACATTATGTTCCTGTAACTTAACATCTTTTCAGGCATTTAATAGTAACATCAATTATATAACTGAACAGGTACCTCCAGAAAGGACCATTTAGATTTTCCTTACATATAAAGCTTGATTACCAAAAATATAAAAATCCTAAAGTAACTTGAAATACATGAGAGGAAAAAGTGCTATGGCAGAAGTTAATATTTTTATCCATAGAGTAAGTTATAACTTGCAAGAATTTGGTGCATTTTTAGGCACTGTTCTTGTATTTTCATTTGTCTGAACTATACAGCAGGTCTTGAGATGCCCAAAAACTCTTTAAGATAAATTTAAGGCAACCAAGTGCAAAAGCTCAGTTTATATTAGATATATGTAAACAGAACTTTTCATAGTAGAAATTGTACAACTGTTACAAGTCCATAGTATTGACAAAGGCCAAAACCATTCTGCCTAGAGACACAAATGCAAAATGTAGTTACACTAATCAAGCCCAAAATTACAAATTCTGGGAAATAAAGTATCACCTTTACCGCAAGGCAGATGCATTACACTGCTGTGCTAGAGTAAGTGCTCTGCTTTCCCCTCCCTACATAACGTGCAGTCTCTCACAGGTTTGTTCTGTTGCATTTAGTGATGTACCACCCAACAGCAGAGCTCCAAATGTTAAAGCAAAATGCACAACACAGCAAACAGATGGAATGTGAATGTACAGATATTGGACCTTTTAAAAAATACAGTACCTAGGATTCCCCATTTTAAACGGTTTTCAGCATATTGCATAGCAGTGAACTCATCTGCTACCTAAAACAGTTGCTGTTGACCCACATGGAGTTCCTCTTCAATTCTTCTTTCAGTTTTCTTTCATACTGTACAGTGGGTCCACAAGCTTATTGTGCACATGCATTAAACCTTGGGGGGAAAGCAACAATGCCAGCTTTACGTTACTTATAATTTTTCAACATGTTCTTCTATCCACATTTTTATTTGGACTTTGCTTCAAAGTATACATTATAAATAGTTCACTGAAGAGAACAATAATGTCTATTTAAAGTAATTTAAAATCAGAGACAGCATATATATGCCTGTATCACTTGCATACTAATGACATCTGCAGTATTATCCAAGCAGGGATCAGACAGTTCTCTGATAACAGACCCAAAAAGCAGATCTGGAATGCTTCCAAATTCACTGAATACATCTTTTATTCTGTGTTAAGAACGCATAACAGCAAGATAATTCCCTCATGCCATAATTCGGCATAAAAATCAGATACACACATAGTGATACTCTTACAGCTTGAATTCTTGAATTGCAGTGTTCTAGCATTGTGGTATTACTCTCTTTGTAATTTGTAGTGTACTTCTGGTCCTAGACAGGCAAAAGCAGACTAAAACTATCCAGAGTGTTAATGCAGATTCAGAATTTTAGTAGTTCAACTCTTTTCTGCTGTGCTTTTTTTTTTTTTCCTTCCACATACAAGTCACCCATACCTGTGACTAGGGGTGTTACTTTTTTTCCTACTCGACTACTTTGATTATGGAACCATGCTGAAGAGTAATTAACAAAAAAAGATGCTTCCCTCTTTATTTTGTTATTACTTAGTAAAAATGTTACCTATATCTACCTATGTATGACACTGGGTCACTGGCAGGTTTTTGACCTCATTTCACCTTAAGGACTAATAACAGTAACTGATCAATATTTACAGTCTGCAAAGTAAAAGTCCATTTTAGCATCAAACTAAAGACTAACTTCTAAAATTAAAATATGCAACATTTAAGAGTAATTTTCTTAAATAACGTGAAATAAATATGCAAGTAGTACATAAATACCTTTGCTACATGATGCACCTGGTAGCAACCTAAGTGTCACTGCAGCAACATGCAATAACTATACAATTTAAGGTCATTACTGTAGTGACCACAACAAAAGGCATTTTATGCAGCATCTATTACTAATCACTGTGTCGTCATTGAATATAAAATGCAGATATTAGATCAAGTATAATATTTTTCAGTTTAACAGTGGGAAAAATTAGGTATACATTTGATATAAAGTCATTTGTACTGAAAGAGTAACAGCTGCACACACTGCTCAAACTAGAAACATGTTTTGAACTTCCTCCCAGTGTTTTTCTCTTCTAAAAAGGGGAAATGAAAAGGAGATAATTACTCACTTCCTAGACACATGAAAAATGCTTACTAAGTATTGCCTCTGCCATACTTAATGAAGAACATTTAAATCTTGTTAGTGAAATTGTTACAGGAAAATCAGTAAGAAACAAAAGGTTTTTTTAAAGGTATGCGTCCCACTGTGTTTTCAAGTATGCTTTGGATAAACAGATTTCTGCATACAGTTTAAAGAGAAGCATGCACACGTATGCAAAAAACTATCCTGAACTAACTTATCTCCAGAAAAATTAGTAAATTCAAAATTCATTTTCTTTCATTCTTCAAGAAAGTTATTTTCCCTTTTACCGTAAGAACATTTAAGTACACTTCATAATTTTAGCCTATACTAGGTTTTCAGAAAGTTAGAAAAAAGTGGAGTAAGTTATTCTATTTACCAGCCAGTGTGGTACTTGATTATATAAAAAAATAAATAAATAATTACAGTTTCACATAGTACCTTGAGAATTTTTAAGTAGGGAAAAATCCCAGTAAATCACTATCATAAATAGCAGTATTAAGAACTATGTAGCTTTCCTAAGAAGTCTAACCTAAAGATCAAGATTCAGAAATAATTCCAGATTTGACCCCCAATGATCTCTTCTCCATATTTAAAAGGGAAAATCTCACTGATTTGAGAGTAGGTAAAAATTAAGCAAGTTTACACTAAACAGTCTTTTTAGAATTCTATTGCTGTGTATAGCAGGGTTATTCAATACAGTGTGACACAATAGCACACATTCATAAATTGTAGCCCTTGATGTTTTTAAAGCGATGTTCAGTGTCATTCATACCTAGTAATTCTACATTATGTTTATCTTTGTTTATATGAAAAACAGGATAATATTTAAAATCCATCCAAGCTATCCAAGTTAAAGAAGTTTATCTTTGAAAACAACAATATCTAGCAGTGTGATACAGCTAAAGACTAACCCTCCCCCCCTACCCTGCAAATACATAGCAGAGGACAGCATATTGAAAAAAATCTAAAATTAACAAGTTGGCCACAAGTGATATCAGGATAAAAATCACAGTAATGTCTGAATTGTAGTCTAATACATATATGAGCACTGCTGATATAATGCTTTAAAAAAGAATTGAATAAATTACAATCTTGATCTCTGATACCTCAACTACTATAGGTATCCATGCTAGTGAGAAAGACAACCATTTCACACAATTCCATGTGCTGTGCTAGTACAGTCAGGAGAAAACTACTTTTCTCAGCTTCTACAGTCTCAGTGAAACAATTCAGATTAGGAAGTCTCAGTGACTATTAAATATCCTGACTTCAATTTTGCCCCAATATACCCACTACAAATATGAAAAGCACAGTACAAGTGTGTGATGTGTTCAGAGTCAGTATAGATTGTTATGCTAATTGCACTGTATGAAAAATGTCCTCACGTGACTTCAAAGTCTGTATCATACATTTTCAGTTTACTAGAGGCAGCATGTTACAGCACATAGCAAAGGCAGCATGAAAATATATCAGGATTAATAAATGTATTGAGTTTTTTTTAAGTGAAACTTTCCAGTGTACTTAAGACCTGTATTCTAGACTGCTGCTGTTTGAAGTGGAAGATTACTAAACTGTTGTTTCAAACTAGAAGCGAAGGAAATATTTCTTCCAAGCAGATTTGTCAGGAATATAAGCAGCACAAGTTATGCCTCCTAGCAATTTTCCATACACAAGAAATAAGTTAACAGTATTTTGAATATATAACATTATACATTAGGTACTGTAAAGTGTTGAAGGCTCAGACTTATAATTTTAAATCTGTTGGGTTTGCATTTTTTTAAACACATGTAACCTCTGATTCAGTGCTCACCTTTAAAGTACTTCACAGTTTTAACTCTTAGTTCTAAAGTAGCATCTTCATCACACACAAAGATAGTGCGAGGGTGTTGCTGGAAAGCAGAAACTGTCCACATATGATTGACTCCTTCTTCAATTGCTTTGTACAGTGCAAAAGCCTTATGTGCACCTGTTATAAGAATCATCACCTGCAAAACAAAGGTCTCTTTACTTTCAATCCCAGTATCAATACCAGCTAGTCTTGAAAACACACATGCAACTAGAACTAAATGAGTTCTTACTTCTCTAGCATCCATCACTGTACCCACACCAACTGTTAGCGCCATAGTTGGTACTTTAGATAAGTCTCCATCAAAGTATTTAGCATTTGCCAAAATGGTGTCCATTGCTAAAGTCTTTAATCTTGTTCTTGAAGACAAACTTGATCCGGGTTCATTGAATGCAATGTGGCCATCTGGACCAATGCCTTTTCAAAGTTAAAAAAAGTAAATCATTCCAGACCTGAGAGTCAACAAATATCCTCAAACATATTAAACAAATAAACAATTTTTAGGACTCTTTCTTTCCCCATTTTCAATAAAAAACATCCAAAACTTACTTAAATGAAGCCATTAGAAACTTGGACACCAACCATTCTGTTTTGGTACTCATACTGATTCTTTGTTAGGCACAGAACTTTCCTGCACCATAACTGAAAGATCTGGGTTTAGCCAAGTTATGAAAATAATGATTAAAGAATCAGTGTACATGCTTGATAGAAACTAACCATGGAGCATTTCCTCATACCTCCAACAAACAGATCAATCCCTCCCGCTTCTTCAATTTTCTTTTCAAATGCATCACATTCCGCCTGTAAGTCTGGAGCATTCCCATCAAGGATATGAGCATTATTTGGATCTATGTCAATATGCTTAAAGAAGTTATTCCACATATAGGAATGATAGCTCTCTGGATGATTTCTGGGGAGCCCTGAAATTATTTAGAGTGAAACTAACATAAGACAAGATTTAACCAAACAGCCTTAATTCTAGTTTATTTGTAACCGATGTAGGGCATGCAAGACAAACCTAACTGAGCCAGATAAAGCAAGTTTTGAAATTACATTGAGAAGAAAGTTTTCCTGTTGGCATGCACAAGGCAATTGGTTTGCATTCACTTCACATATGTCTTATCACAAAGAGTATAAAGTCTTCAACAGAAATGCAGTCACAATATTATGTCACAGTGTACTTTCTGCACTGAATTTAGCCCAGGATCCACCTGTTTATATGTCTACAAAAATGCAAAAATAAATAGAGAAAAATGCTTAAGATGACCTTATGGACAGAAATTTAACATAAAGAATACAAACATACTAGACTGATCTTGTTCTTTGATAAAGTATTTAGTAGTTTTTATAAGGAGGAAAAAATAACAGTACAGTGTGTTCTCAAATAATAGCGCATCTTACCTACATACTCATCCATGTTGAAAGTCTTTACATATTTGAAAGAGAGATCTCCATTTTTGTGGTATTCTATCAGCTTTTTGTAGCATCCCAAAGGCGTACTACCTGTTAAATAAAGTTTTTCTACTGTTCTGTGTATCTGCACAACATTTTCAGTGTATTCAAATCGCATCATAGTCAAATTTTGCTACAATACTTTTAAACATAAATGCAACCTGCTGTTTCTCATTTAGTATTTCTCAGCTTTCACATCACAACTTTTCACACAAAGCAGATCCATATTTTAAAAAAATTATGTTGGAGTATTACCAAAAATAATACTTATGTTCTTTTAAAATGTATCTGCTAGCAATGATACAAACATTGTTCTAGGTTTACTTATTTACATAGACTTTGAATAAAACTTGCCTGTTGGTAGACCAAGCGTGAAATATCTTCCTTGACTTGGCTTGAACTGGATAATACGATTACAGATGTATTTTGCTGCCCATTCACTAGCCTGATCATAATCTTCAAGAATTACTAGCCTCATAATGGCAGTGAGGAACTTGTATTATAAAACAAACTTAAACCTGGAGAAAATGTCAAAGTTTTAAAAATAAGCACCCTATGAATAGTTGTAAAACTCTCAGATTACAGTGGAGATAAAAAAATAACCTTTCATGCTGATGACTTGCATAAGCATACCACATTCTTGCAGTCCTAGTTCAAGCTGGACAATCAAAAGCAAAGCTACAGAATCCAAATGATAAATTCCAGTCAAAATATTTATTAAAATTCACAGAATAATTTAAAATAACTTATAGGGAAAAGCTAAACCAAAATATGAATAAGCCATTTTGAACTTCAATATTTTCGTCGAGTATTACTGTTAAAAAAGAGGAAATATTGAAACGCCGAAATTAACTCCTGTTTCTTATGACCAGCTGAAGGCCTAAAATTTCAAAAACAAGGCCCAAAATAACCCCGTGTTTCTCTCTTTAAAATATCTAATTGGAAGTAAATAATTAAAATTTCTTTCACTGCCATTCTAGCTCCATAACAACGCTTCAGTACGTTTATTAATCTGCAAAAAAAAAGTTAAAGCATTAGATATCTGAAAAGTGACCTCATACGTATCTTTCCCTGTGAATTGTAAACCTTTTTTCTTTTCAACTTGACTTTAAACAGAAATTTAGAAAGCTTTGAGTGCAATTGTATCAACTTCTGAGATGAATAACCAGAAAAGAAGCTTGCTCGCTAGGAGTATACAAGCATCTCTTACATTTAAGTGAAACTCATTTTACCAAGAGTTTCTGTTTAACGGTCAGGTAATTACCAGAAAGACTAGGGCTCTTGAGCCAGTTTGCAATGTATTATTCTTCTCTTTCTAGGCCTGAGTGTGCTTGGCATTAGCCACAAAACAACACACCTGCCAGAAGCCCAAGGCCAACTAAGTGCCAAACCACTTGCAGCACACACTACTCTCAGGTGACCCAAAACGAGAGTCTGGTTTTAAGAACAAATATGAATTATAGTGCATTTGTGTTTAACAGGGTGACATCTGCTTGTCCCACCAAAGAAGGAGGGAAGTGAACACCAACCACCCTGTGCTGCCTCATCTCCACGAGCAGCTGAGCCGTGACAAATCAAACTCACCTTTGCAGAGGAAACGCTATTTCACAGACACCAAAAAGAGCTCACACACGCCCCAGGGGAGGACAGAAAAGCAGGCCAGCAGGAACAGACCCCGCTTTTAAGGCGGCCTCATAAACCTCCAGCGATTTTGCCCTGGGAACACGGGGATGCTCTTCGCCAGCAGCGACCCGCGGACCGCACCAGAACGACCGCGGATCTTCGGCTGAGGGCACTTCCTTGGAGGGTGTTGGTAAACCCACACTGCCAGAGAAAGGGACCCACCGCCAGAGCGCAGCCGGCGCAGCCCCGGCCCGCGGCCTCCCCTCCCTCCCCTCCGCACCGCCCGCGGACCCGCCCGCCCCGCTCACCCCCGCAGAGCCCGCGGCGGCCACGGGCGGCACCGGCACGGCAGGGCGAGGAGCAGAGGATGGCGAGGACGGTGAGCAGGACGGTGAGCAGGAGGAGAACGGAGAGCGCCGCCCGCCCCGCCGCCTCCAGGAGAGCCCAGCGCGACCCGGAAGCGCCTGGCGAGGACGGGAAAGGGGCTTGTTTTCCCATTTCCATTTCCGGGCGCTGTGGCTGTTGCAGGGTGGGGGTGAGGCAGCGCCGGTCGGTCAGCAGCCGTGGAGTCGGGAACTGCTGGGGGCTTTGCCAAAACAGTGCCATGCTTCCCACTCCAGTTGTTGTAAAATGTGGAATATGTAAAATTTGCTTAAGAAAGGATGTTCTTTGATTTTTATATACCTTCAAGCCTTAACAAGAAGAAAAGATATTTAATCTGTGAAACACAGCAGCTAACAAGTGATGTCCAGGTGTTAGAAAGACAAATTACTTGTTGGTAGAATTGCCTTGTTAAGGTTTAGGGCTTGACATGCTTCAGTGATCTCAGACCTAGGGGGAGGTTAACAAAGCTTGGGAAGAAGGATGAACCACTGATAGTGGACACAAAGAACACAGAATTTATGGGCCACAAGGACCTTTGGCAGAGCTCCCAAGATAAGGAAGAAACTAATAAAGCCAACTCAGCAACTGTGCTGAATCAGCTCCGACTGGGTAAAAGGTAATTCCGGCATGGGGAGATCGTGACCACCGACTCAAGGACCACTTACCCAGGAAACCCACTGACTCCAGGGAACGACCGAGCTGTGCGGACTAATCAGGATGAGAAGCGAGAGAGTCGTTAACCAACAGACGAGAGAATACTAATGAATAAGAGAACCATGTAACTTGTAGCCAATGGACACTAATTCCTGTGTTTGCTAAAATGTATACATAGTGAAAAGTTTTGATAGTTGTGTGCTAGCTTTGTGGATTTGCCACCCAGCACCCCTTTCTGCACAGATTTGTAAATAAACTCCTTGACTCTGTGTGTGGATTGGCCTCTTGCATACCGGGTGACAGAACATATTTTGGCAACACAAGCTGGAGCAGTGCATAAGCCCTTCTCTTAGAGTTCCTGTTATGTGGGAAGTAGGTGGCACTCTAAGACCCTAACAGAAAAAGTTCCCCTCTAACTTAAATGTTTACATGAAGCAGTAACAAAAAGGCTGTTGGTAGTTACTGGGAAAAACAAACAAACAAACAAACAAACAAAAAAAACACGTCAATTTTTTGGCGGATGACAAGTTGACCGTGAGATGGCAGTGTGCCCTTTTGGCCAGGAGGGCCAATGGTATCGGGGTACACTGGGAAGAGTGCAGCCAGCAGACTGAGGGAGGTGATCCTGCCCCTCGACCCTAGTAAGGCCACACCTGTGGCCAGTTCTGGGCTCAGTACAAGACAAGGAGCTGTTGGAGAGGGTCCAGCAAAGGGCTACAAAGATGATTAGGAATATCTCTCATATGAGGAAAGACTGTAGGAGCTGCGCCTTTTTAGTCTAGAGAAAAGAAGACTGAAAGGGGATCTCATTAGTGCATATAAATATCTCAAAAGTGGTGCCAAGAGGATGGTGCCAGACTCTTTTTGGCAATGCCCAGTAATAGGATGAGGAGCAATGGCTGTAAACTAATAAAAGTTCTACCTCAACATGAGGAAGAACTTTACATTGAGGGTGTCAGAGTACTGGAACAGGCTGCCCATGGAGGTTGTGAACTCTCCCTATCTGGAGACATTCAAAACCCACCTGAATTCATTCATTTGTCAGCTGATCTAGCTGACCCTGCTGTGATGGGGGAAAGTGAGATCTGGATGGCTTCCAGAGGTCCCTTCCAAACCTAATGATTGTGGTTCTCTGATTGTGTGATTCTATCTCTCTTTGCTTTAAAAGCAGTCAAGTAATTTCATAGTTATAGCTATAATAAACAGCTGTGGTGTGATAGGTCTTGGAGTCAGGGAAAGGGCTAATGGTCTGAAGGTGCTTCAGAAAGGAGTGGGAAAACTGGAGTGGGGGGGTGAGCAAGTAACATAATTCTGAATATATGTGTATGCACATACTATAGGCTTCACTGAGGCCTTATCATATTAGAAGACCAGGATAAATCTGTTTGCTGGGCACGAGCATAACTGGCTGTGGAAAAACATCATGATTGAAGGGTAAAGGAAGGGAAACTAATAATGGGGAGTGTGTGTTTCCCAAAAAAAAAAAAAAAAAAAAAAAGAAATCTGGGGTCATACATAAGTACAACAATACATTTTCTGATAACCTGTCTAGCAACATTTAAAAATATTGAGAAATACTTTGCCAAGGGCATGAAATATGTGTTTGCGAGCTTGTGAGGAAAAATATGTCTTACCGAAGTCTTGAGCTTAGCATGCAAACAAAAAAAATACTCTTTGTTTCAAAATCTGCCTTTCATTTGGATTTAACTTTATAATATAATCAACTCAATTTTAGCTTATGCATGTTCTTCTAATAAAGTCTTTATCTCAGAAATTTTGCCAGGTCCTAAAGAATATTTTCTTTTACACCATTTCTGAGTCATGCTCTGAGCCTCTGATGCTCTCATTGTTTCAGGGTACGTTTGAAATGGAAATTATCTTCAGATCCTATGTAATAAATTAAGAATAGTGAACACATTTCTTTGTTACTACTACATACCTAGGTGCCTATAGGCCTGATATCACACCCCTCCCCTGAATAGTAGGGGAGGTTTTTCCCTTGCCTTGGTGAACCCTTATTCTCTGATATGTCAGCTTAATATAAGAGATTGCATAATTACTTTGCATGGTCAGGTATCCAGTTGTGCTTCTCTCCTTAGTGTTGCCAGCTTCCAGGTGACACTGCTTTACAGTGCCCCTGAAGGTAGCAACACTGGGCTCTACCTTGCTAAAATCTTTACTAGTTACCTTAATCTCGAGATAGTCAATTGTTTCTGAGGATATTTACTCTAGTATAGACTTGCTACCTGCTACCTTGACATGGTAGGAATGGAGTATGCCCAAATGGATGGTACAGCAAGAATTGCTGGTTTGTGTTATCTGTGTTTTTCTTGGCAGAAAGGCATCATTCATCTTTCAGGCTTCCCACACCTGACCCTATTGTTAGATGTACTTTGTAGATATGACCCTACCATATATTCCTTATCCTACCACAGTCTACTGGCTTTGCTCATCACTCTGCTTGTAAAGTTGTTAAGGGAAACTTAAGGTCTTTCACACAAATTCTGTTGGTTTCCACAACTTGAAAATACTTTTTTTTTTTTTTTAATCGCTACAGAAAAACTCTTAAAATTCACTTAATAGGCTCCTCCATGTTGCATATTCTCCAGAAGGTCAGAGAATATGTGATGTACTCTTCTGCACTCAGTAGAACTTGTCCTTTTTCCTGCTGCCTTTAAATTCAGAACAACTTGTCTGTTGCCTTTTTAGGAAACTTGGCAATGTTATCAAGTGCTTCTATTAGACAGACAAATTGACTTTCTTTCGTGAGCATATTCAATTCTGACTCTCCTTGTTAGTATGCTAATGCCTAGGGTATGATTTTTTCCAAGTCATTCTTCAGATTTTCCTTTCTAATTAGAAGCAGATGGAAAATGTTCTATATGCACTGAATGTTGTTGCTAACAATTACTAATTAAGATTTTGCTAACAAAAAAAAAAATCTTAATTACTTACTACTTTTCATTGAGTAGCATGACTAGAGATTTCCTAAAATCTGACAGTTATAGTATTTAAAATCCCAGTATCTTTCTCTTGCTTCTGGAAACAGTCTTTCTGTGATAATTTTTTCCTTTTATTTTCTTAATGACCCTTTCTGTTAAGTATTAATTCATTTACTCTCTTTGTGGTAATCTGATTTTTATACATCTGCTATGATCAGGTGTCTTTTGTGCTTCTTTTTTTAGACCTGCATTTAAGTGACTATGAACTTAAATTGGGTATACTGCAGTAGTAACCAAGCTACATTGAATTTTACCTGAGGAGGGCCAACTCAACTTCAGCTCAATCCATTCTTTTAACAAGGTAGATGTTCCTTCAGATTCACTCCTTTTTAGTTGGAAGAACAAAGGATCCTGCCCAAAGGTGGGACCTATGAAGGAAAATTAATAAAATGGGTGTTGACATGCAGGAAAGACTCTGAGAAGAAAACAAAAAGGGTGCAGGGAAGATATTTGCCAAGGCATTAAATGTAGAGGTTGAGAGACAAGTGAAAAGACTTTTTAAAAGAAAAAAAAAAAAAAGACTAGCTCTTATCACCTTGGTGAATTAAACCCCTGTATTGAGTCTGGCCGAGGTGGAGTTAATCTTCCCCACAGCAGCCCTCACAGTGCTGTGCCTTGCATGGTAGCTAGAAAGGTGTGGTTAACACCCCAGTGTTCTGGCTACCGCTGAGCAGCATTCCCCAGCATCAGCATTGTCTCTCCAACATTCCCCATGGCCAGGAAGCTGGGGGGGGCAAGAGCTTGAGAAGGGACACAGCCAGATCAGCTGGCCCAAACTGACCAAAGGGATATTCCATAATATATGACATCTGCTCAGATTTAAATGTTGAGAGAAAGGAGGAGGGAGGGGCATGCATTTTTATGATGTTTGTCTTCCTTGGCAACTGCTGTGTGTACTGAAGCCCCACTTCCCAAGAAGTGGCTGGACATCGCCTGCTGATGGGGAATAGAGAATAGGTCTTGTTTTATACTTTGCTTCTGTGTGCAGGCTTTTCTTTATCAAGCTGACTTTATCTTGATCTATGAGGGATTTGTGTCCATCTTATTTTCTCTCACACTGTCCTGCTGAGGAGGGGAGTGATAGAGCAGCTTGGTCAGCACCTGGTGTCCAGCTGGGGTCAACCCACCACAAATCTGCTGTGTAACAGGTGTGCAATCAAGAGTAAGGATGCAAAATAACATAGCAGCTGAGACCTATAAGAGAATAATAACCATATGG